ACCACAAAAAACTAGTAACAGTGGTAGCATTTCCTTAAAAAAAATACCACCTCTTTACTTTTAAAAAATAAAAGAGAAGGGCAAGAAATGCCACCTCTCTACTTACTTTTTAAAAATAAAAGGAGATAGGTGGTGTTCTCCTTTTATTTTTTTTTTTAAATTAGAAAGCATCACTTTTTAATATCTTATATATCCATCAATTTATATCAATAATTTTTTGAGTAAATATACAATTAATTTATACAATAAAATTTATTCATACAATTAAAAAAATAAATAATTTTATACTATACAAAATTATGATAAATTTAGCAAGGTCATAAAAAATTAAGGATAAAAAAAAAAATTAAATATATCTAAAAGATATAATAATGTTTATTAGTAATTTTGCAATATAGTTGTAAAACAATATCTACAACAAAATAAATAAACAATGAATTTGAAAAAAAAATATGATTAATGTTTAATAGAGATTAAATATAGAGTAACTAAAGTAATTTATATAAATTATGAAGAAGAGACAAGTTATCATCTAGTTACATAAGTTTTGACTATCCTTCAATGTTGAACAAATACATATCAGAAAAAGTGGACATATTTTAAATTAGAAATAAGTTTCCTCTTACATGATCAACAGAGACTATTACTGCTACTACTACTGCGATTGTTGCTACTATTGCTGCTTCTGCCATTGCTACTATTGCTGCTGTTGCTACTGTTATTACTGCTACTACCACTCCTCCTGCTGTGCTAGCATGAAGATTGAAGATTTTAATGTATATTCCTTAGATCTCAATAAGGCTTTATACCCAAAGAATTGTTTTACTAACATATATGCCAATTAGAAAATAAAAAGAACAAATCTTTCAAGATTATGGAAAGAAATTTTGTCAACTGAAGAGAAATAAAAACAAAATCATGAAGATCCATATAAATATAGATGGATAGGTACATAAGAGGTAAAAAAAAAAAAGAAATTTGTTGTGTTGTACTCATACAAGCGATCTTAGCTAAAAAAGACGACAAAACCAACTTCAGAAATTAGAAAATAGATAACTCGTGAGTTGCCAAACAAAAAAAACAAGCAACTGGATAGAGAAAAGGACCAAAACAAGGGGATTAGCGTTTGAAAATATCAAGAAGAGTTAAAAACTATTTTCAATTTTAAAAAATGATTAAAAAAATCACAGCAGTGGTGTACCTCTCTAATTTTTAACAATTATATAAGATAAAAAATATTAAATCAATAACAGAATAGAGAAGTGGCATTTCCAAGCCCAGAGAATGTTACCTCTCTACCTTTTAATTATTAAATAATAATTCACATAATAATTAATATTAATCAAATAAATTATAATTAAATAATATTTGACCTTATAAGAAAATAATTAAATATTGAATAAAGAAGAGAGGTGGCGTTTCCACTTCATTTGTGTAAGAAATATTATTATATATTAATTAAAATACTAAATAAATAAATTACAATAAAATGATTATTTAATATGAAAAATAAAATTATAAATCAATAAAGAGTATAGAAGTGGCATTTTCAAGCTTAGCAAATGCCACCTCTCTAATTTTTTTTTAAATGATATGATGTACTAATTAAAATTATTAATCAAATAAATTATCATAAAATAGTTACTTAATCTAATAAAAAATATTAAATTAATAGCAGGGTAGAAAGGTAGTGTTTTCAAGCTTAGGAAACATCAAATCTCTACTTTAGAGTTATTAAATTATAATAGATACACTCTCTATTTAAAAATATAAGGTACTTTTTGAGGAATTAAATGTTAAAAAATGTAAGATCTTTTTAATCTTTTGAAATGTAATCATTACTTTTTTTTTAAATGTCTCTATTGACAGTGACTTTATAATTACTATAGGATTTTAATAGAAATAAATATGATAGATAGGGTTAGTTTAAAAGTAGGTAACTACTTTATGAGGGTAAAATTTGATTAAAAATGCTTTATATTTTTAAATAGAGGGAGTGTATATCTATATATATAATAATTAATATTAATTAATAAATTATAATAAAATAATATTGATCTTTTAAAGAGATAGTTAAATATTGGATAAAGAAAAGAGGTGGCGTTTCTACCTCTCTTCAATTGTTTAAGAAATATTATTATATATTATTACAGATACTAAATAATAAATTATAATAAAATAATTATTTAATATGATAAAATAAAATTTTAAATCAAAAAGTGAGTATAGAGGCAGCATTGTCAAACTCATCAAATACTACCTCTTTGATTTTATTTATTAAATAATATGGTGTATTAATTAAATTATCAATTAAATAAATTATGATAAAACAATTATTTAATCTGATAAAAAAATACTAATTCAATAGCAGTGGCACTTTCAAGCCTAGAAAATACTACTTCTCTACTTTTTTTGGTAATAATAATAATAATATTAATAATTAATATTAACTAAATAAATTATAATAAAATAATATTTTATCTTATAAAAATAATTAAATATTAAAAAATAAGAGAGGTGGACGTTTCAAATTTGGAAACACCACCTCTCTTCATTTGTTTATTAAATAATAAATATACTAATTAAAATTATTAATTAAATAAATTATAATAAATTAATTATTTAATTTAATAAAATAAAATTTTAAATCGATTATTAACAGAGTAGAGAGGTGGCATTTTCAATTATAAATGCCAACTCTTTGCTTTTAATGTGAACAAAATATTAATTTAGTAAAAAAAAAGGTGGCACTTCACTATTTTTAAAACACCACTTTTTATTATTTTCTAAAATTATAAATAAAAAATAATTTATAAGCAGTAACATTTTAAATAAAAAACACCACTTATGTACTTTAACTTTAATATTAGTAGTGTTTTATTTTTTATTACTATAAAATGTATGTTATTAAATTTCATTTTTGCTATAGTGAAGGACGGATGAAATTTATCAGTAAAAATGTGAAAAGAGAGTTAGAAAAGTTTGTGGTTTATATATTACTTGCCTTTTTTTAACTGGTCTTCCATTAACAATCTATTACTTGGTAAAATTGGCTTTTGCTAGCTGCACAGCTGGCTTGCAAGTGGTAGACTTCTATTAGGTGGTAGAAAAGACTCCCTACTCAAGGTATGTTGGGTTCTACTTTGTTCCTCTCAACGAAGAATAATGAGAAGTTAATTTGTGTAGAGAAGCTTTAGAATTGCCTAGTTACTTGATCACCTGTATGCTATTTCTTTCTTCTTTAAATTACTCAATGAATGTTCTATTATACTATTGTTATCCCTGGTGAACTCATTGGCAAGCAAGGCATGCTTTGTTATCTCTTCTCAATTTTTTCATCCTCGCTTTCCTATTTGGTTCTGTTTGAAATAAATCTGACACATGAAGAGTGTGAACACAACCAAATCCACTTAATTGTTATGGTTTTGAATCTTCCAACTCCTACTCTTTAATTACTATTCTTATTTAATTTTTCTTGATTTATTTTATCTTTTTGAGCTTTTATTGTTCTGAGAATAAGTTTCTACTGAAATCAATTGAACCTTGTAGATGGGCTATTGTCACTTGTTCTCCTGATCGATTCGCCACATCCTTGTAAGTCAAGCTTGAACACTCAACATCCTTTTATGTATTTGCTCATTTTCTCTTTGAATTGATTATTATTATTGTTGTTGTTGTTGTTGCAGGAGGGCTATCTTCTCTATATGCAAGCATGTGCAAAGAGAGAGGTGACTTGAACTATGGTGCCTGATCAAGAACTTGAAGATCTCTTTACTGCTCTTATGAATTGTTATTTAAGAAATTTTAATTAATAGAATTTCTTTTAGAATTTACTGAATTTATAGGATAATATTTTTTTTGCATGGTGAGTTCTCAAGTTATTGATATCTTTTTATCAATTGAATGATGTTTAATTATAATATATATTTGATTTTTAATTTAATGAATATAATATTTTTTATTAATATGATTCTCCTGCTATTCTTTAATGATTAAAGTGTGTATTGCAGTGTATATTGAAAATAAAATTAATAAAGATAACCACGTATGGGAAATCCTACTAAAATTTCAAATGCTAGCTTAATCAAATAACTATCAAATAAGCTCTTATATGATGATTATTTAAAATAATTGTCAAATATTTTTATTTGATGTTATATATTTGACAGTTATTTAAAATAACTGTCAAATATTCCTATATTGTTCTGTACTTTTGATATCATATATTTGATAATTATTTAAAATAATTATTAAATATAAAAAAATACATATGATAGTTAAATAATTGTCAAATGTTGATGACTTCAATAAATGACAAGGCACTGTTATTAACCATCATATATAATATAAAATAACTGTCAAATATTGTCAAATTTGTTGCAGTGATATCTCTTTTCTGAGTTTAATTATTTGTAAATCACCAATAAAAAATTTATTATAAATAACTAAATATTGTCCATAATTATTTTTATTGTAATTTTTTAAAATTTATAATCAAGTATTTTAAAAACAATATATTAGTTTTTAATAGTTAAATGTGCAAATTAATTGTTCAAAAAATACTTGTCGTCTTTTTTGGGAAATAGTAATCAGTAGTTAAAAATTATTAGTAAAAGTGTATGTATACATTGATGATGAAAAATATCTCAAAAAAACTTCAAACTTAAACCAAATCGACTAAAAAAAACCATATAGATCCCCAATTTTGTGAACCGATTAATTTAATTCAGTATGATTTTTTCTCAAAATCAAATTAAACAGATCATGTGAACACCTCAGGTTAGCATTAAAATTAAGACAAATTGAGGGATTGAAATTGCCGAAGCAGCGTTGACTGCCACGCATCTTCAAATTAAATGAGCACTAATGTTAAGTTCTCGAAATTTTATGGTAATTAATGCCATGCTAGAACAAAAATTGACCAATTCAGACCCATGCGTCATGTTGAAGAAAAGCATGAGAGGAATTCCCACACACAACCATTTTTGGCCCACAAAACAAATCAGAAGTCTGCATCTTTCATTTACATGAAGAATATTTTATTCACGAATACTCAAATTCAAGAACACCGTATAATTTAGGAAGCAGGTCCCACAAGACCTAGAAGGAAGATCAAATACAACCGTGAATATATAACAGCGTATGAAGAAGTTAAAGAGTACCCAAATAGTTGGAAGTGGATGATCGATGCATCAACTTCCGTTGAGTTTCTTACAGTCGGATCTGATTTCTCCCAGAGTGCCCGTCAAGGGGCCGATGTTGCCCATATTGATCATGGACTGAGCAAAAGCGAGGAAGAAAGCAGTCTGGTTGCCTGCAAAGTTGTTGACAACGGAAATGGTGGAAGAACCATTTGTGGAGAAGAGCTCCTGGTCGGATTGAAGAAGGCCCCGATTGGTAAGAAGATTAGCGAAGTAGTTGTTATCAAAAGCGTCAGGAGAAGAAGGATCCAGATTGTTCAGAGTTGTTCCACTCCCATTTTGAGGACAATTCTGCTGCAGCGTGGCCAGGTAGGTTGTATTCAGAGTCGGATCAGGCCCTCCCGTTCCGCTGAAGTTGAACAGCCTGCTGCTGAAAAATCGACACTGCGCTCGACCAAACGTGTGCGCACCTTCAAACCCGTTTCATTTTTTTCTTGTTAGATAGTAAAAAACGCGTTTTTCTGTGAAATGAAAAGTCACTGGTGAATGAGTATTACCTGACAGTGCAACGAGATCGGTCATGTTTAAGCCGACAGCGGCGAACTTGGCAGTGATATTGGCGAGGCTGTCAAATGGGGTGGGAATTGCGGAATTGGCTCCACTCTGATTTGCTACCACACCGTCTCTCCTCCCGAGTAGTACGTTCCATGAAGGACCCCCTGCCTGCAAATATCATATGAGGACATAGACATCGCCAATGTTTCAGTCGGCCGGGGATGAATACGTAACATATAAGATTGTGAGGGATGAATAGTTTACCAGAGACACAGAGGCTTCAGCAGCGAGGGCAAGAATATCGGCACAAGAAACCACGCCAGGGCATGAGTTTTCAATGGAGGCCTTGATTTTATCAACCACGTCGAATCCCCGTGCGGAATTGTTGTTGGGTGTCGCAGTTTTCTCGCTCAGCGTTATGTTACCGCCCTGGTCTAACAAAACCGATCCATCACATCCCTGAACACACGCATAAGAAAGAAGCCCTATCATCAGAAAATATATACAAGCCTGAAACCTCCTCACTGTTAGACTGTAATCAAACATCCCTATACTTGTTGTTTTTGAACACACACACACACACACTATTTACATTGACAAAGCAATCATGAAAGTGAAGACGAGTGAGGCTTGCTCCTATACGGGGATCGGATTGCAGAGCCTGCTGAATCACGCTGCGCACGATGGAAGATACGTTGGGGCATGTGTTCGAATAGAAGGTCGAAGATAGTTGAGCATTTGATGAATAGATCAGTGCAAGGGGAAGCAAAACGGTAGCCACAAGCGTATAACAGGAGCAGGAAGGCATTTTGAGTTGTTAATTTCTTCTCTCCTGAGAGAAAATGGTGGGTTCACAGACTGAAGATCTGCAGGACGCCCATCTATTTGTATGCTAGATAAAGATAAGAAGCGCGTCACGTGTCATGTAAACTTTATTATTTGCTTGATAGTAAAGCGTCGTCCTTTAGGTGTTGCTTAGAAGCATGCAAGTTTAGTGCATATTTTATGCTTATTAGGTTTAGTATCACTGGAAACAAAGTTGAAAATTCAAACTATAATCATTCCCACTTAACAAACTCGTCGTACTACACATGTCATCAAATATAATATTGTGGTCGATCTCCTCATATTTGAATCATTCTTTCTCGAGCAGGGGCCGCTTGTGATGATTCGTGTAAAAGCAGCAGCAAGTCCAAAAAACGAGTAAATCACTGCTTCGTCATCAAGCAAGGGGTTGATAAAAAAGCTAAGTAATTATTTCCTTGCCCATGTGTCCCTTTCTTCTAATTATTTAAAGCACGCAAGTTGCCTTTGCCTCTGGCTTTTTCTTTCTGAAAGTACTTGAATATTCCTCATTTAGAGGGCGTTTTCTGAAACCGAAAAGGGCAAAGAGACTGTTTGATATGAAGTCAATTTCTGAACCATATTAAGGGAGAAGATTCTCGGGGCCAACTTTTCCCAGAGGCAGGAAAGTAACCCAAGAGCTACAAAGGTGTCACTAATTCAAATGATTGCTTGCTTTTGTGTTTAGGTTTGGTGCCGGTACGACATCTAGTCCAAAGCACGAGAACAGTGCGCAAGCGTAATAAGGTTGTACTATTCATTATTATTCAAACTCCAGATGGAAGATTTTGATAATTCTCGTTCAAGTCACCTGCCCAATAAATGTTGAGCACCGCACTTACCATTGAAAGAAATTAAAAACATGACTGAAACAACAGAAGAGGGTAATTAGGGCTGATTGGTTTCTTTTTTTATTTTTTATTTTAAAAATTGTTTTCCAATGTAGTTTTTAAAACTTTTTTCAAAACAAAATAAAAAGGAAATTTGTTTATTAGTTGTGTTGATTTAAAAATCAATTTATTAGTTTTGCAATTAAAAATCCATCAATATATAGTAGTAATCGCTAATGGTTAATGATAGTGACTTATCAAGGTAATTAGTTAAAGTGACTGTAATTTTTAATAATAAAATATAACGTAACTTGAAAATAAGAAAAATAATACAAAAACAGCTTTAAAATATTTATACTTTTTTTGTTTTGAAAACAAATAATAGAATAATTTTGGAAACAATTAAATTTAAAATAATTTTTTTTATTTTTTTTGTTTTTAACTAAAAATATTTTTCGAAATAGAAACCAAACATGTCATTATATAGCCAGGAAATCGGTAATATCATCTTCTATATATATTAATGTTCATTATGGCTTTGTTATTTCTCAATGACGGACAAGAAACGGTGTCCAAGCCAGTTTATAGTAACTGCTTATGTATTACTGTCTCCAAACTATAATACTGGATATCTTTTAAAAATATTGTTTGGTCTAAAATACAGAGTATTTAATAACTTTTATAATTATTTTTTAAATTATGTTCCTACTTTATTTATTACTCTTTTTTTTAAAATGATACATTTGAGAATTTTTATAATTATAACTATCAAAACACTTATATGAAGTGTAGTAAAATTGGGAGTATATAAATTTGAGAACTGTGAATTAATTAGCAATGTGCTTAATACAGCAATGTAACGTTTGTCTAAGTAGAATTATAATTAAAGAAGCGCGAGATATGGTGATCAAATCTCAACCATCAAGAAGACAAAGAATATCCTCTTAGAAATTGAGATTCCACGTGAAGAAGGTTGCTTGCTAATCAAACAGCTGCGCTGATTTGACCATTGTTAAATAATAACGCAGCGCGTGAACTTGCATCGATCAAAACCCTTGTTCACATCGGACCAGAATTAATCTGGATCTAGTAAAACAAGTGCTGTGTACATGGAGTACACATATTTAGTTTTTCTATTTTGAGGGAGCAGATCTTCTACCCGTACAGAATATAAACTTTACACGTTCTAGTGGGTCTGCTGGTTGTGCATATTGAAATGTCAGGATGGTAGAAATCTAGACAATAGAAGTGTACAAGCCAGCGATAAATAAAGGGGACATATATTTTTGTGTTGGATACTCGAGTAGATAATATATATCCCACTGGTCCTTGGGCATTGTCAGAACCCCAAAAAAATCCCTGCTTTAAAATCCAGACGACGCTTGCCCAGCTTGAAAAATACGTTGTTTGTTTAATTTGTTGATATTTATCTGTATAGTGACTGTAGGTTAATTATCTGTGTATAATGGTATTCTTAGCTTGTTGAGTTTTCTATGAGATGTCTGATAAAATTGTTTACGCATTGTTTGGCAAGTTAAGACACCAAGAAAATGACAAGAGGGATTTGAGTTAGAAGAAACTAGTTGCGCGATAAACATGGTTATTATAAAGTTGTTGGTTGGTATTCAATCATCAGAAATCGCTTCATATGAGATGATTTATTTTAATTTTGCATGATTAGCAGTTACCAAGTCATTGTAACTCATTAACTCCTTAACTAGGTGTCAATCATGTTAAAAGTACGTAGCTTTCTAATTAATCCGATTGTTTTAATTACTAGATTATTTAAGTGGCACAACACTTTCCAACCATACGAAAACCGGTACACCTAAACAAAAATTATGATCTTGCTAATTTGTCTGTATTTGACAAAAAAGCACGAACCAGATCTTTTATATATGAATTATTTACCAAGTGTATTTTTAGAGTTAGAAAAATGAGCAGGCTTGGTCTATAAAGGCTTGAGTCCTTAAGTTTAATTTTTCATTTTTCATCTTTTTTAAGGTTTGAATCTTATTTAAAGGGTTTAGGATTATGCCCGTAAACTCTATTATAAAAAAATTAAAATAAAATTAAATACTATAAATTACTTAAATATTTTAAAATTAAAAAAATTTAATAATATTTTAAAATTTAAACAACACATATTTTAGAATCTAGTAAAAAAATTTAAATTTTGATTAAAAAATAGTTCATTTTTTTATAAATATACAAACATAATAACTATAAAAAAATAAAAATATTAGAAACTTTATATTGTACACTAATATTTATTAAATTATATCATATTAATTTTAGAATAAATAAAAAATAATAATAATATAACACGTGTAGGATTAGAACTTCAAGCGAGCAGGTCATTCTTGCTTTCAAACGCATGTTTCACAAAAAAAAATTAATAATAATATAATAGAGTTTGAATAGTTGCCCGATCTTGAATTCTCTTTTATAGGGTTTATGAGGGTTAGGATATCAAACCTAATTACTTTAAAAAAATTTAATTTCTAAAGCCTGAACCCTTATTTAAATATAACTTTCAGGCTCGATCTTTATTGCCGATTCAAGTATCTTTCAAACGTTGAAATCATAGAATTAAAATTTGAAACAAAATCATAACCTATATATCCTAATATAAAGCCAAAGCCTACAATCTACCTGTTAAATTAATAATAACGGCATCGAAATTTTCCCACCGGCATTATATGCTCATTTAAAATCTTTTTAATGCATTTAAAAAAAATTGTGGGCGGTTATAGTCGTTCGGCCCATGATTTCAAAGAGATATTTCATGGGTTTGTTCCTGGGCCACAGAGAACCAAAATGGTTAAAGGCCGAGTGCAGATCTTCTTTTCTAAGTTTAACCCATGAAGTCGGATGCAGTGCCGTTCGGGCTTTTAACTATGCGGCTGCCGAAATCACATCAGCATCTTTAATATAGTTTTAATTATGTAAATCGACGTTTAATTATCGTGGCAATTAATTTTTAAGGTCTTAACATTTCAATTCTTAGAACGCGGAGATCTGGCATCCATAATTGGATCGAGTGATATATTCATTTGTGAATACTCCCTATTCGTCATAATCTAGTGTCAATAAAAAAAAAATGAATGGGGTCAGACTAGGCCCAGCCGCATCTGAAGTTGAAACACAATCAAACATAGACGTGGTGTAAACAGTTACGATATCATGTGGGTACGGGGAAGGAAAGACAAGTGATGATATTGTGATTCAGATTTCAGACGCAACCGAGTGCACGGAATTGTGCAGTGTGGATGAGCAATAAAGGTATGGCTAAGAGGTGGAGGAAGTCCCATCATGGCCTTAATGCGTTCCGTAGTCATCGTCTCCTCCGGGTCTGTCCAACCCGACGAAATCAGTTGCAGTTGAATCCGGCAGTGGTGCCCAATTCTAGCCGGCGGTCAACATTCAATTTTACTCCCCACCATTTCCAGGTCACCACGTAATTGAGATCGCATGTTTTCAAAAGCAGGGCACGTGTGTTGTCAATTTGTAGGTGCTCAACCTGAAATGATCTCAAGCACAGTTTCGTTTAATAGGGAAAAGAGCACTGCACTGCGGCTCCATCAGAGATCATTTCCCACGAAAAAACGTCTCATCTCTACGCTCGAGCTTACCTCGCCGGGAGCGAATGTCATAGTTTTAGATTATTCTTAAGGATTATTTCAGATCAATTCCATCTACACAACCCTGGACCCCCTTCTAACCATGTGCTCTGGTATAACTTTTTTCTCTCTTCGAAATGGAAGGGTCGAAAAGAGGATGTTGAAACCCCCCAAAAAAGTAAAAAAATAAAAAAAATAAAAAAAGAGGCCAGAACGTGTGCTTACTGTTATTTGACGTGAAGTTACGTCAAGGGATCCATACAATGTAGATGGAAAAAAAAAACTCAATAAAAGTGAGGAGGTCCCCAGATCCTCTGCAGTCACGCTGTTGACTACAGAGCGTGGAATTTTCATTTAAATTCATAAATTTTCTATCATTAAAATCCGTTATGGTCGACTATTAAAATGTTAAGAAAATCACATCGGAGGACCCAAAATGTAGTGAAACATCACAGTAATTATTTTCTGGAAATTTAACAATAACCTATTAGAATTTAATGGTAAATGATTGAGAATTTTATAACAGCAGTAATATTTTAAAAACAATCAAATTTTGAACATTTTTAACACCCAACATGACTTTATAAATAATTTTGTTTAGACACTTCTTATAACCTCACGTGAAAGGAAGTGAATGCATCCGGGACCTTTCAAAAAGGAATACATCTCGAACCGTGTTTTTTTTTTTTTTGGGTGTGGGCACGTGGCTGTCATGGATGAGTGTTGGATGCTGGGGAGGGCCGACAGGGGTAGGACCAAAACGGCGTATTTAATTAACAACCAATAACGTACTCCTGTATGGAGAAACTGAGATTAAAATAAAAAAATAAGAAAACGCACCATTTCATTTGAGAGAGGGAATAACAGGCCCAGTTTTTTTTGCTTTGGTTTGAACAGAGAGAGAGGGGGGGGGTGTGTGACTGAGTTAACAGGCAAGGGAGTGGAGAGGAGCAAGGGCCCACGCGTCCCCACAGTCATAAAAGGAAGAGGGTTTGGGTGAATGTTAAAACCACCTGCTCCCCTCCTCCTCCTGCGCGTCAATTCTCTCCCACCCTGGCTACTGCCTGCCTTCCTCCTCCCTCTCCCATCACACGTGCTCTCTCCCTCCCTCCCTCCTCCATCTTCTCTTTCTTTGGTGCAACTGATTAAAAAGTTAGAGAGAGAAACCCTCCTCCTCTTGCCAATATATGTGGACTCCCTCACGGGGTCTGGGGCACCCAGAGCCACCCACCCCTCCTCCCCTCCTCCGCTCCCAATCCCTTTCGAGCTCCGATTTTTCCTAGTCGCTCCCTGCTCCCTCACGTAGCTTATGTCTTCCTCCCCCTTCCCTCCCTCCTTTTCCCCCTCTTCGCCTCTCCAATCTGTACCTTCTTCCTCTCCTTCCCGCCGCCGCTCCTGATCTTTCCGCTCTCAATCTGGTTGGGTTTCCCTCAAATCCTATCCTGCACCCCCCCCATGAGGATCCGCAAAAGGCAGGTCCCTTTCCCTCTTTCAGATCCCCGCCCGATTCCCCCCTCTCCCGTGCCTCAACTCCCCCGCCCTTCCTCCCCCTCATCTTCTATTCCTCTCCTTCTCCAACAACCCCATGCTACTGCTCTCTCCGCCTCCCTGTTGGATCACGACCTGGAGGACGCCAGGGATTCCTCCCGCTTCGTCGCCGAAGCCGGGCCAAACCATCACCGCACTGAGATGGATCGTCAAGTTAGCCATTTCTTTTTCTCTCAGTTTTCTATTTCCGCTGGCCTTTTGAATTTCGTACGACTGCACTGCTTTTTGTCCAGTCTCCCACGCGAGCCATCCGAATTAGATTTTAAACTCGCCGGGGGGCGCGTTTTGGTCCTCTCCTATATCTCCGGATCTGATAGTCGGCGTGTTATTTTGCAGGACGAGGCCGGCGGAGGGCCGAACGACGGAGGAGAGAAGCGCGATGATACCGGGTAAGAAAGATGACAATAAAAAAAAAGTTAGGAGTGAATATAAATTAAATACGATTATATGCGTCGTCTCTTCTTTGATGAGGGAAAAAAAAAAGGTAGAAAACATGGAGACCCATAACTTGATTTTACCCGGCATCGAAAAGGGAAATAATAATAAAAATAGGAGGCGCGGGAAGAAAAAAATAGTGATAGTGGAAATACTGTGGAAGTCGTCATGAGTGAGCGAGAGCACTGGGTAGCCACCACACCCCTCCTACGACTACGAGTAGGGGATCGTGTTTTTTCTCTAAATTGGCTAACTACCATGCGTCCCGGGGTCGCCAATCGCACGGATATGCTCGTCCCCATCTTCATTCCATCTCGCTCTTTCCATGCTACATTTACATTGCACCCAACTTTATCTTTCCTTCCTTAACATTCATGTAATTATATATGCTTGTTGCTGGTATGCATTCTGGGCGTCGCTTGTTAATTGGCAGGAAAGGAGTCCTCTTTGGTTCCGGTGCTGTCTTCGAGGTCGTCCCACTCCCACCCTCTAATCTAGGTAAATGTTATTTCTTGTGGGTGATGTACTCCGCTTTTTACGGCTTATATACGATATTCTTGACGAAAAAACGTCCCTTGAGTGCGGCATGCAGATGGGAAATGGTGCGACGGAGAGAAAGCGATTCCGCCCAAGAAACGGAGAGGGAGAGCAGGTGACTGCATGAACACGAGGGAGTGCAACAACAATAACAACAAGAAGATGAAAACTAGAATGAAGACCAAGATGAACAAGAAATGTACACAAAATGATGATGAAAGGCACGGGGGGGAGGAGGAAGAGAGAAAAGAAGAGGAAGTAAATGTGAACGCGAATACGAGTAAGAAGAGAGGAAGGGCAAGTGTGACGATGGAGGGATCGAGGTGCAGTAGAGTCAACGGGAGGGGATGGAGGTGTTGTCAGCAAACACTGGTGGGTTACTCTCTGTGTGAGCATCACTTGGGGAAGGGAAGGCTCAGGAGCATCACCAGTGTTAGAAGCCGATCCGTTCCTTCTGCAACGACAGCGACAGAGAATAACGATTCTCTCTCCCTCGACGACTCACTGTGCGGAGCTTCTTCATCTTCCTCTCCTGAAAAGAAAATAAATGTGATTCTTCGAGCTTTCCTAACACTGACGATCACAAGGACGAGAAGAAACCAGCAGTGATTACGAAGAAGAGGATGAAGCTTGGCATGGTGAAAGCACGTTCCATTAGCAGCTTGCTGGGACAGACCAACACCCAGGTTGCTCTACCTGAGGATAACAAGTAAGGTCACTCACAATGAGCATCGACTGTTATTCGATGTTCTTGATAATCACTATAACTGACATTCCAGTGCAACTGCTTTCAATTCAACCATCGCAGCAGCTTCTGTTTCTTTCCGTGATTGTGCTATATCTTCGTCCTCCTCGTACTTTGACTGTTAAATTTTATTCCTCTCTTGTGATAGAATTACTATATATTTATATTACTTGATGAGCGCATTGTTTTGTCTTGCAGTAATATATAGTACATGTATGTAGTCTCCCGATGGACTGGATCACGATCACTGTATGTTCTTTCCCACTAGCTAAGTAAATCACGCTAAGAATTCGTCAACGCTAACCATCTGGGATTTTGCTCGGATAATTATATGGTTTTAAATTCATCCTCAACTGATCACTCAAATATACCTGGTTTCGGTTTTAACGTAATAGACTACACCCTTCGATTCGCAGGAAAGTTTAGATCTTGATTTTCCAAAAGCATGTGGAAGAGAATCATTAATAGCCTTCCGATATTTACATTGTATAGTTGGAAGTTCACGCACCGAACCCTGTATTTGAAATTGCTGTTTCGCAGAAATATGCACTAAGATAGTTAGATGGCATTTGTTCTTTGCATATGTACTTGCCAAACGGATCGTATATTTGGGTGTATATATGGTTTAGAGGCTATATATATGTATATATACGAGGGCGCTAAATGTGGCAGAAAAAACGAATTAGAGACAATAGCGGCTTTATTATTAATTTGGCAACGTTGTTTATCATATTAAAATATAATTGAGTTTTGAACTGGGATTTTGCGGACACGGGAGTACGTGACCATTAAAAAAAATTGCTAGTTCTTTTTTTAACCTGAAAAAATTAATTCGATTGCAACAAAATATGTTGTTTCCAGCACTGTTTAATATTTATATTGCCAACGAATAGATTGACGGGCCAGGATTGTTGGAAAAATTTATGGAGATGTAGGGCATATGTATATATATCAAAATTTGGAATTAAAAACCTTGTCCGGGTGGGTGCGTTGCGAATGTATTTATTTAATATTAGTGTTTGGATTAGAGCTCAGGCGACGCGGTAGTGTATTTCGCAGGTTATGATGGAAAAAGATTTGGGGAGCTGCGTTGGAGAGCAGCTTTTGATGGAGATAATGGACCCCAACAGCTTTCTTTTTCCACTGCGTGATATGACCTTAATTCGTCCGGTTGTTGCCACTTATATCAAGTACTCCCAATTTCATTATCTCTGCGAATACCATAATTAATCCCTGTCCAGAAGCATCAATGGAATGTCTCCGAATTAAGTTAATTAATAAATTGTGTGTGTTAAAAGCTCTGAAGAAAAGATAACCAAGCATTTCAGACAGATAAGGTAAAACGAAGACTGTCGCTAGCTGGGAATGACGGACTAGACAGCTAAATCAATTGGTATTATTCTCAATGGACCAAACGCCGTACAAGTTGGGGGGCCATTGTTTATGTTACTTTCTTGAGCGAGTCTGCTTTAGTTGAATGCATACGAGGTGTGAGGAGTAGTTGTCAAGAGCAAGGGATACACTGCATACACAATACGTAGACATTAACAGAGGGCAGTCAGCAAGATAATTTTCAGCCCCAAAAAAGAACAAGGTGAAGTTCTTGTTCGTTAATGTACAAACGGCTGTAAAGTTAATTAAATGCACATGCGAGACCCTTACTTTATTACTGGAATTAATCGCGCGCACAAGCGCTAGTCAATATCCCATCCCATGCTATCCGCCACGCGTACATCTCGGGACTAAAATCTACCCACTTTTTACATAGTTCGATCGCTTAGAACACCGTGGTTTCGCCGTAATAATTTCTATGAAAAAGTGACATATATTATGGGCCAATCCATGCATATAATTATTTAAGGCAGAAGAAATCTACAAAGCACGATCGCTTGTGCGCCTAGTACCAATTGCTTTTATTTATGATAGCACTCGGTGCAGAATTTTCGGCAAGACCAAATCATTTAAACCCGTATCCGGTCAAAAGGCTTTTGGATGTCAGAATCCAGTATGTATGTATGTATGTATGTATGATGTGATGATGATAGTATCCGTGACACTTGTGTATAGTTTTCGAGCTCCTCTCTACACTTGTCTTCTTTAAATTTCTTCACCTTCCCAAGAAAATAGTTTTCGAACTCAACTGGAGACATACACATATAGCATGGGGTTTGGCCTCCCCAACCTTTTACTTATCTTGTTTCTTGTAGTTAATTAAGACGCATACCAATGTAGTACATTCCGCGGGGTGTTGCGGGGGTGGGTGAGAGAGAGAGAGAGAGAGAGAGAGTCTTGAGTTTAGGCTCGACCCCGGAATGTGTAAGAGGAATAAGATTTGAGATGAGCGGGGTTGGAGGCCAACGTGATGAATATATGGAATGGCCTTTGTGTGTTGGTGAGGGGCTATATTATAAGAGTGGAAGACAAGGCATGTCGGACGTAGCTGGGCGAGTGGGGGAAATTGGTAGTATCATAATCACGGAACGCTAAATATGTGAAAAGTCAGGGGTCGTAGTTGAAGCGTTGTTATCACTGTGTTTGAGCTGGGGGCTTTTTAGTAAGAACGAAAGAAAGGCAAACGTGTGATGAATACAACGCTACCCACTAAATTGACTCCCCCCTCTCTCAGCCACTCCCGTGCTTTTCATCACTTATCTCTTCGCTTTTCTTTTCTCCTCTAATTCATATCTCTTTAACACTACGTCTATCCTTTGCTTGCTCCATGATAAAATCTCTGTTTTCCTCACAAACACATCTAGGTCGAATCCTCAGTCTCCAGCCCTCGTCCTGTATACGCCGAAGAGGGAACTTTTGAGTACTGTTTTGGTTGCTGAAATTTAAATTTAAACCGAAGTGACGGGCCATGAGAGAGAGGGGTATTATCTGTGGAGTTTTGTTTGGTTGATGTTGAAAGGGGTTAGTTAATTGGTGGAAGGGCGAGTGGGAAGCAGGGGAAGGGCAAAGTTACCTAAAGGGAGAGGGGCCCAGACAGCAAAGCGAGAGTTGGCGTGCGATGCTAAATGCTATGGTTTTCACTTCGAGATCTCAGTATTGTTGAATGGCATGTGGGCGGGCGCCCCCACCAGTGGCCTTCCAATACAAACAAACACTCTTGTTCCTTCACACCCCTCCCTGCCATTTCTTTTACTCTCAATCTCCTCATTTGTGCCTCCCTTTCTTTAAGCTTTTCAATATCCTGTTCTTCCATTCACGGTAAAAGCCACCGTCCTGCCCCATGTTTATTCAGAAATACCCCAAAAACAATAAGGGGGAGAGAGACAGGTGAACATAGATATAAATATATATATATATATATATATATATATTACCCACAAAGGCCAGCCTGTTGTGCGTCTGGCGCAAAGGCGCCAGCATTTAGAGCAGGTATTTGAATTGCATTTGTGTTTTGTAGCTGCGCTTCATTATTGATAATTGGTTACTTTGAGCAGGGAGTGGACCCGCCGGCTCAGGATTAGGCTCCCGGTACAACACGCAGAATTAATAAACTGATGGATTCCTTTAAGTGGTTGCCAGATTTATTTAAACAGTGACATAGTGGTTGTAAAACAACTGGTGCTTCGATTAGGGGAATGGGATTTTTAGGAATGGCTGGATTCGATCCCCTCCTAGCTAGTCTGGCTAATAGGTCTGTCGTGGCTTTGCTTTGCGTCTGTTGATTCTGCAATAATGACAACATTATGGTGATGATGATCTCAGAATAGCTGAGTCCGCAGAAAGTACGTTATGATTACAAACCTTTGCCGTTTCTCGTGAAGAGCACATCAACTTGTAAAGTACAAGACTTTAAGACCGTGCACTGCTGCTACGTATTAACTCGTTAAGGTTTGGGCTCCATGAAATTGCCGAAGCCAGTTGCAACTGAGTTCGCAGATTCCTTAATCATGCTCTTAAGCTGGGCTAAGCAGTGCAGCCATCATCGCTTGCCATCACATTCATCTAAACAAGAGTTAAACTGTTTGATTCATTTAAATTTCGAAGTATGGCATTTCTTGAAATCTTGCAGCGCTGGTTATCAGAATGATTCATTTGAATTTCTCTCTTTCATTTGAAACTCCAGTCCTGAAGGCCGGCCGCTTCGCAATATATATCCATCAAGGCAGCACATTTGAAGTTATAAGCAATCAAATGAAAGTAACCTACATTTTCAGTTCTAGTGAATAGTGGGCTGTAATGTACTTATAGATTTCATGCGTAGAATGAAATCCCTTCAAGCTAGGTAGTGGACAATGGAAGCGCCAACAAGCACAAGCACATGCTCGAGCTGGTTGCCACTGCCATGTAGCAGATTTGTTTGTATCTTGTTAACGTGATGGAGTTGGCTAATATTGTCGTGTTTCATTCTCACTCTCTTTGGCCATCGCTTTTTTTTTTTTTTTTGAACAATTCATTATTTCTGGCTTTCCATGATCAGAGCAAGTATGGTAGGGTCACCGAACTCGGATGGTTTTTAATTCCAAGCGATATACACCTCACACCTCAGCTTTGAATCTCGACCGACAAGCACCCCAAAAAACAAAAAGGAGAGCGATTTTCTTGCAACATGAAAAGTCCATCTTTCGAGAGCCAGTTCATTGCTTCTTTTTCCTCTTCTGCTGCAGCAATTGGTGGTTGAGATCGAGAACCACTTTTTTCGAGGTTTTCGCTTTGAAGTTACGGGTATGTATAGCCGGGAAATAAATGCAACTGGAGGAAAAGTTGGCATCGATATATATGCTGCTTATGCCAGAGGAAAAATTACTTATGCAGGGGCGCAGGCAAGATAAAGATCAAGCCCGATTCATCAGATTGCATACATGATTATCGTATCCAATAATTATGGGAGTTTTAGCTTGGTTATCTGTTTTACACGTTGTAATTATATTGTCCGATGGTTTTTTTCTGTCCCTTCTACTTTCATCGGGAGGAAGGAACAGTAATTGATATTAAAGCTGTTGCAATTCCACTTGTTGAGTGGGAGGGGGCATGATCCCTTGTATGGTCTTTTCACGAGTAAATATGTCACAGGGCAAACAATCTAGATTTTTTATCGATTAGAAAGTCGCTTCTGCAATAGATAGAACGGCAATAAATCTAGAATATCTGCATAAATAATGTTTCACTGGCCGATGGTATAAATCTCATTATCGTCTTTAAAATTAAACTCATTCTAACCAAAAAAAAAAAATTCCTTATGATTCATTTTATGGTAATAACCTATTTTAATAATGTTGTTCATACAATGAATGATGATTGCGAGGGAGGGAGGTGATGAGATTCAGGAACCAGGAGGCGTGTCAGCAAAATTATGATCCGAAAATCTGGATATACATGCATGGTTACCAGGGAAGTTAACATTGTGTGCTTTTTTCCCTTGAATCAGGATGCGGTCCATTCATTGTTCGACTGGGTCTTCAAAGTTGCATAGCTCTATCCCATCACTTCCTAAAAAAAAAAAATCAAACAAATAACAGGGTTATTGATTTTTTTTTTAATTGAAGCCGAAAATAGATGACTCCAGAAAATATGTTTTTCTTAATAAAAGGCCATGAAAACCGTGCAAGAAATAAATGATAACTTCATACAAGAGTAAATGATGTTTTTGCACTAAAGATGGTTCAACAAAAAATTATAATATCCGCATGACAAGAATTTGCACATTTATTTATTTCTTTAAAAATATATTTGAATATAACAATCCAATCTTTTATGATTAAGCCTTTGATCCTATTTATATTATTAGAAAGAAGATGATTCCAGATTCCAGTTGCAGTCTGGATGAGACTCAGAGCTTCTTTTGGAAAAGAAGGTGGGAAAATATATTGTTTACCTAACATGAATAGGCCCGTTTTCCCCACTTCAACTTCCCATCAGCTGGAATGAAACCGGTGACGGGGGATGATTCGTCAGTAACTTCCTAGGAGCAGGTAGCCATGCACTGAAATTAAACGAGTATTTGTGTTTTATAAAAAATTAATAATGAAAATTTTAATCATTTAAGTTTATTTTAACCGTTGATTGGTTTCTTCTTGAGTTTAGTTTTCATCGATTTAGTTTCTTAAACTTTTTTTATAAAAAAATCATTATGTTAATCTTTTAAATTTGAAGCTATAAATTGATTTTAAAATTAATGTAATGTGTATATTGGTCCTTTGGCAAAAAAAATAATAATTTATAAAGTAGGTTAATAACTTAATATGTATATGTAATTAAAAATTACACTATCCCTTAATTTAATTTTATCAATGTAGTCTCTTACATTATATATTTGTTATTTGTTTTTAAAAATTCCCAACTCTTTTTTTCCTTTACAAATAATTAAATTTTTATTAATTTACATGTCCACCATGACTCTTTTGTTATTCTTATTAACAAATTTTAATAGTATTATTTTCATTTTAAATAATAACAATTAAATTGGTAATTGAGGCCAATTTGACAAACCAAATTAATTAAAATTAAATTAAGAAATTAAATAAATAATTGAAACAAATTTAGGGATTAGAAATTTCAATACCCCTGTAAAATATAATCAAAAGATTAGGAGATCATTGGCTCGTTCACAATTATTTACCTTGATTTTTGTTGGCTTTGTTATGTTTTTGGGTTGCGTGTATAATAATTTAAAAATTAAAGCTCCCGTGACAGTGGAGAGCCCTTTTCTAGTTTCAGCGGAATATTAATGGAAAGAAAGCAATCAAGCAAGACATGGATGGGCTCGGGAAAGGGTGGGAAACTGGGAATAGATCAGGCTCTTGATTCACTGACTAATTTTAAATCTAACCTAAATAAATTAAAATGAGGTTTAAGTTTATTTAAAAAATTTAAATTTTTTAAAGCCTAACTTATAAACTCAACAGACCAGCCCATATACACAACTACATACACATCAGTTTTATAATTTAATTTTTAATTAATTTTTTTTATTTTTTTAATTATATTTTCAATCAGATTAAACTTATATATTGATTTTAACTTTATTATTATATTATATTGTAATGGTAAATCCTTTTAATTATTATATATTATAATTGATAAATTATGTTATATATTTAATCTTAAAATATATTTAAGATATTTAAAATTAAAATGTGAGTCTATTTAAAATGTTTATTTTTAAATAGGATTTTAAATAAATTTTCAGGTCAGGTTAGGTTTTAAATAGGCTCATACTTGAGTAATAAGAAAGGTATTATATAAATTTTAAGTCAAACTCAAGCCTCTAACCTACCATATAAACTCATATCTATTTAGTCAAAATTTAACTTGACTTAATTTATTTTTACCCATATGCATGAGGATCTCCGTTTCGTCAAAGAAAATGAAAACTGCTTTCCAATTTTGAATTTTCTTTACATTCTAGATCTTATTCTTATTCCTTACAACTGTATTTGTTTATTTTCGATTTGAACTCTAGTCCCTATACATTGTATCCCTAGGGCAATGAGGCTTATATATTTCGTCCAAGTGACAAAATCTTGTCGTATCTCCACCCAGATACATGAATATTCACGAATTCAACAGGAGATTAAAAGAATAAAATAAAATAAAATAAAATAAAATCAACTTAAAAGTATCGAGTCGATTTCAATCCCAATAAATCATTGATAAGAAAGTGAATTTTATAAAGGCATAAAACCTACAACAATAATAAAATAAAGATATAGAAAACAAATTAAACGTTTATATGAATACAACATATGCAAATCAATCAAGTCATCTTGTAAAGCTTGAAAGAGTCAAAGTTTAAGATGAGAGGAGAGAGGCACGTGGGAGAAAAGTGATTGGAACTGAGAAATAAAAATAATGAAGTTCTAGAAGTGATGAAGTCACATGGTGATAAAACATCGAGTAAACAAGCAGGCGAACAAAACACGTCACACTACGCCAATCAAAACAAGTGGTGTGTGGGTTCTATGATTATATCCTTCAACTTTCAAGGCCATCGCAGCAATTATAAAAAATTAAAAATCAAATTGTGGTTCTACTGACAAGGAGCGCTATTCGTTCAAGTATGTCGGCGATAGTGTGGGACTTGTCTGTCATTATAAATTGAATGGTCCGAAAGAGATAGGCACAAGGCTGTGGCTTGTGAGATGGCAAAGACGAGGAGTTTGAATGTGCCGCCCGTCTGCCTCTGGTCATCTCCGATCCGGGTGAGAGAAACGCGTACCGGGTTCAGCCTGTGATTTGCGGATCGTTCCACACCACCACGATACGGGTCGCTCTCACCTGGATCGGGTCTGCCCACTCCTTTCCTTCTCGGATCTTCCCTCTAATTTGTAAGTTCTTTTTTTCTTCCACTGCATCTTCGTCCTCTTCATTTATATTTTCTGCTGGTGATTTCTTTGTTGGCCTTCTCTTTTGAAACTACTACAGGGTTTCAACATGTTTTTCCTCCTTTTGCTTATTTCATCCGCTGTCATGTGAAGGCTTCCTAGCTAAATTAATTTATGGATGGTTTACATCTTTTCCGATTATAAAAGGAAGCAACGACACTGCATTTTTTCTGCATCGATAAAGAACAACCATGAATTTTTAATTGATTTTTTAAGTGTGACCAACATGTATGTATATCAAATACTTGCAGTTTGTAATTTCTTAATAAATTGTTGTTAATGTGATGTGAATGGATCCTTATGCCTTTATCTATACATGTGATTCTTGAATTTGGCGTTTAATTGGTTTAAATAGACGAATGAAGGCTTACACGTATATCTTTCAAGGCTACTGGTATGTTTGGTTTACCTTTCAACTAATGTTGAGGGCAGCCCCAGCCTCGGTTGAGCCCAGTGTCCCATCTAAAATCTTGTTTGGGAGGGGAAAAAAATAAGTCGAACGAGCGGTATGACAAAACAAGCGTTAATAATGAAGCTAGGAAAAGGAGCTTATTGACGCGCGTTGCAAAATGACTTTGATCTCAGATTCTCTCTCCTCCTTATCTCCCTTGAATTACCTGAAACTACAAGCTGTCCCAAAATGGACTCCTGCTCTCAGGTCCAAATCTTCGACATTCTCACCGCCAACTTCGTCTTCCTAGTATCACTGAAACTTGCCGATCAGATAATCAGATCCAAATCTGCTATGAAGATCCCCATCTCGTGCCCTTGCGTTGATGGAATCCGAAGAGATCGATGTCCACAATCTACACAATGCAGGCATCGGACGCATTGCAGACCAAATCATTTGACGAATGGAGCGACGTTGGTGATAGCGTTGCTGTTTACGTGCTTCAACAATGTGAGAAATGGAAAATTATAGATGAAAGTGTAGATGACCACGGATAAGATATTGGAGAGGCATTTTTGTCAAATCTATTTAGATTGTTAAGATAGATTTATTATGTTTGTGATATAATTAGACATCAAATTGTAGTTCATACTAATTCAATATTTTGTAATCTATAAACTTCTCTTGATTTCTCATAAATGAATATTTTGAATTTTATTATTTAATTCAACCTTTTTAAATCTAAGATTTTTGACTTATCAATGTATTTATATTTGTAATCTGCTTTTCTAATTATAATTTTAAGTTCAATATTTTTCCTAAAAACATTAAATTAGTCAAAAATATATACAACAAAATTGATGTTCGTTTTTATTATTATACATCTCACTTATTTTTTGAATTAAATCATTTAAATAACTTTTAATTTGTCTAATTAATTTTTAAAAAAATTTAAATATAAATCACATTATAATCATAAATTTTTTTCCTAAACTCAATTTTTTAATTTTAATTGATTCTTAATTTTAATTATAAATTTTTTAAATCTAAACACACACTAAGTTTGGTTTGGTGTAAAGGTGAGGTGTGAAATGCTTGAGATAAACCGGAGGCCCCTTTCCTCTCGCATGCTAATGGAAAGGCAGGAAGGTCAAGGTTCCTGTAAAAGGGTTGAGTAGTGACTAAAATATTCTCACAATAATTCATATCCCAATTTTGCCCTTTGACTGCCACTACAATCATATGCAACATTTTTTTTTTAAAGAATTTTTATTATGCAACTTTCCTTGTATAGTTATATATTAAAAGTTCTTATATATCATGCCATAAGTTTTTTAGAGGATCTAACGTTGCTACTGCTTAAAATAATTAAAGAAGGTCAAGGCATTAATTTACAGTTGCTAGTGTTTGAAATAATTTTAAAACTATCATCAAGGATTTACAAGATGTCTTATAAATGCAAAGCTTCTTCTGCTTTATTTAAGGATTTAATTGCATGATATAAAAGGCTTCTTATTTTTTTATTTATTTAATGGAGTAACATTTAGAGGCGTGATGGTCGTTGAAGTAATTTACACATTCCTTTTCTCATTTGTCTTCTGATTCACACCAAACTAGAGGTAATTTTTACCCTTTCTCTCCTGTACATCCCGAGCGTAAGTTGGGTCTCCCTCTCCCTCTGGCCTATACTATACCAAGAACACGACACGGCAGATTCTCCCAAAATCCAAATTCCAAGGCATATATCCAATATTGTTCCGTTATAACATGATATTGTGTCCAACGGGAAATACTGACTTCGACATGTACGTGTCCCTGTTCGTAAAAATCCTTTCTGCCTCAATCACCTATCGCGAGGAAGACGTACGATTGGGTACAGAGAAAAAATATCTACAAATCAATTGTCTTAGCTTTCGTTGGACCATGTGCAATCAAACACCAGGCGTATGTATATGTGTGTGTTTGTGTATTGTTCGACTTCGTTAATGACTTCCATGTTCGAAGATTGTTTAAATACCACGTGTTTGTATATCGTTTTATACTATTACACAATCGCACATCAATTAAAAGGGCCTTGACCACGTGGCGATATCTGGAGAAAGCAGAGAATTGGACGGCAACGATGCATTCAACAATACCATGCACACCGTTTTGGTACTCCGCCCGGGAAAAGAAGGGGGGTCCTCTGAACTCTCCCACCCCCACCGGTTGAGGACTGAAAATACGGGATTTCGCGCCGCCGAGTCCGAGAGAACGGCACTCGCCCAAATACTGATTAGTTTATTTGAGATCTTTTTAACCTGCTGTTTGTTCGAGACTGAAAGCAACAAGTATTGCCATTTGAAAGTGTTCTATCGTGAACATAAACCGCCAACCCCCTTTGACCCAATATAATAAAAAAGAATTCCTCCTAAATTCTAACATTTCATTTCATATATAGGAGACTGAAATAAAATTAAATAATTAACTCAAACGATCTTATTGTCAATGATAAAAGACAAAACCAAAATAGAGCTGCAGATATGCACATCGCAATTGTTGTTTCCTGCATGAATCGTTCATTTTATTTTTCATATTTAGTAAATAACTGAGTCGAATAAAGTTGTTCCTCCCTTATACATGACAAGTAAAGCTAAAACTTGTATAGAAAAAAATAACAATTCATGCATGAAAAATGAATAATTAATATAGATGAAATTTACAACTCTTATTAATAATATAATACTACTATAAGTATAAACAAGTGAAATTAGACACATGACAAAATATTATCATTATTACCCCAACACTTAACCAAAATCACCATGGTGATGCTAGATTAACTGTTTTAAGTGTAGTTATAAAAGAACTACCCGTAATAGAAAGGAAAAGCCTTAACACAAAGGTCTACTATAGTTAAATTATTTAAAACCAAACAATTTATACTCTCTAATACATACTACTATAGTATAATAAAGTCTACAATAATAGAATATTTCAAAACTAAGTAAATTAGATTCAATGGAAACCAATTAATCAAAACCCAAATTAATACATGGTAGTAATAAAGATGGAATTTCAAGTCTGATAACTTAAATACATTAATTCTAAGTAAAAGCAAGTTATATTGGAGTTATAAAATACACGAAAGCATTGGATACTAATAAGACTTGAAAACATTTGACCATAGGGTCAAAAATGTTATTTTCCCATAAAATGAGTCATCCATCGGGATTAAGGAAAAATGCATCATGGCTAAAAACTTTTCATGACATGCATCATGACATATTGCATAAAATGGCTGATAATAATTTTTTGTCATAACTTTACTCCAAGGGTCAAACTTCTAGCTTGCTTTAAATCTTTATCTGACATCTAATTGAAATGATTTAAGTGTTTATATAAAGCTTACTTAGTGAACTATCAAATGTCACTAATTTCATTTCCTAATTATTTCATACTAAAGAGTTGGACACTCAAATTAAATTAATTACATTTTCACAGTTTGTCACATCAAGGGTGTCTAAAACTCAACCTAAGTACCAAAAACTCAACCTATCACCTACATCACATTCGAGGGACTTGGAATAACCTATGTAACACACCATAACAATCAAACACTAAATATAATTCAAATTCATCCCTCAACCCTGTGATTACTGTAACATCTTCAACTTTAAATCAAGATTTAATTAAGTTTAAATAGACTAATTAAATGATTTGTGAGGTGTGTGGCTAAAAAGGCCTAACGGGCATGTTTGATCTTAATTTCAATTCTAAACGTGAGTCTAAAGGAAAATTGGGTCACCCGGGAATGGAAGAGGAAGAATTTCTAAAGGAAGTGATTCTGTGCCATGCGTCACAACTTATGGTTGGTCCGCTGCGGTGCATGCATGACAACATGCCTAGAAGAGGCTCTTTGTGCCATACACCGCAGCACATGGTTAGAATTTTACAGTATTAAGTTGTGAACCTAAAGTAGAAGAGAAGAGGAAACAAAAGGAACCGAGAGAGTGACGAAAGATCTGAGCTAGAGCTTGAAGAAACTAATTATTAGGAGTAAATTGGAGCTCATAAACACTAAAAGTAAGCTTCCTTACTTAAATCTTTCTCTCTTCTTCCATTTTCTTGATAGTAGAGGTTAGAATTTAATTGTTAATGGTGATTTTCAGTCCATAAAAGTTATGGGTCCAAATTAATTAACTTAAATAGAGTTAATGAGAGTAGATTGAGCTAAGTAAACTTGGTATTTATGGTTTTATGATGATTGATGGTTGAAGGACATTAAATATCTAAAATTCTCATAAATTTGGTGGTTGAAAATAATGTGGTTGCATTAATGTCCATTTAAGAGCTTAATATTATTAATGAGAGTTAAAGAAAGCTAAAAAGTCTTATGGGTACTTTTACATGAGTCAAGAATAAATCTTGATATTAAAATGATGAAATGTTAGTGAAAAATAGTCAAAAATGAATATTGATGTTTTGCATGGTAAATACTTGTAGTGTAACTACCATTGGCACCATTCAAGCTTTTTGAAAGCTTTGAGAGTAAGTATTTAAGGGGTGAAACCTTTGACTTCTCAAATGTTTGAGATAACTAGGAGAATTTTATCTTATGCTTGTGTATGTTTATTAGTTTATTAATTTATGATCTATCATTGAAATGTGTAAAATAAAAAGAAATGCAAGTGTGGCTTAATTTGTTAGGAAATCTAGTAGATCCAATTTGTGAGTTTTATGCTTTGTGGTGTAAAATTTTCTTGGGAACAATAGTGGTGAATTTTATATTAATGTTTATTGAGAGTTTAATGATTCTGCAAATTGAGAAGTAATATGAATCTTTGTTAAGAGAAGTTCAATGATATTTTAAAATATGAAGTTCAATAATTTTGAAAGTATGAAATACAATAATTGTGAAGTTAAAGTTCAATGACTTATTTATTTTAAAGTTCCATGAAATGTGATTAAGAAGTTCAATTATTGTGTAATGATGAAGTTCAACAAAAATTGATTTGTAAAGTTCTATGAACTGTATATTTGTGAGTTATGGCATGAATGTGCATGGCATGATCTTGAGAGGCGGGAGTTCGCCTAAAAAATAGAATAGATGATAAAATCCATGTAATAAAGCCCATCTATGTGATGGTTTTTGTGGATTGATTCTATCCATATTATCCCACTTGTTCAATGAGGGACTGTCCCACTAGTTCAATGAGGGACTCAAACCTAGCTAGTTATTTATCGGTCCAATAAGGAGGTTAGTTTAGGGTGTATGACATCCCATGGTGTGAGAAATGGGAAAAACTGTAATTCATAAGTGAGTTGGGTGCGCCTTGGCTAGGTAATCCCTTCACAAGTATTTAGACTAGGGAAGTCAAAGAATATAGACTATTTCATTAAGTTATAACCCATGATTTCATGTCAAAAAAATAAGAAGGATATAAAGAAAGTGTGATCATGTACATAGTAAGTAAAGGCATTTGTTGTCTATATTGAGTCCATAATGATGGCATCTTGAGTTGAGTCTTAATTTCTACTATTATGTTTGTCAATGATTTTTTGTGACCAACTCTCTTATATAAAAAGTACTAAAAGCACTGTTTCTCAAGTAAATGCTATTATGTGAGTTGAATTGTAAATATCTAATTTTAATTGTTTCACATGGGTTAAAGTAGTAATATTAACCATTACTTGTATTTAAACTAATTAACATGCATTAGTATGGGTTAGTCAGAGCTTGGTT